CACAGCCCAGAGGTCCTGAGTGGCTAAGGACCCAGGTCAAACCACGCCTACTCAGGGCTCCCACTGTGTCTGGGAAAGGCTACTGGCTGTGTAGCAAACCATCCCTGGGGAGTTACAGGGGCTAATTCACTGACCTGTCTAGGACAGCAATCCTGGAGTGATTTGTCAGACACCGCAGGGCTCCTGACAGATCTGATCTGTTTAAAAGTTCACATCCAGCGTAGAGGGTGTGACTACTGCACTTCAGATGAGAAAGCTGTCGCCTCCTTCCCGTGACGCCTGCGATCCCTTATCAAGTGACATTCCAGAGCACCCTGTCTCTGGGTCACAGGCCACTCCTGAAAGTTGTGTTTCAGGGCTAGGGCCCAGGGCTTGAATTAGGCATGGCAGGAAGGAACCCTGGGCCCAGAGTGGTGCCACCATGGCAGCTTGTTGATGAACTGCCAAGCATGCCAGGCTGGGGTGGGGACCATGGGCATTTTCCTCTCTGGGGACAGAGTGGAAACCCTGAGCAGTTACCCAAGAAGCCAGACGCTGATGAGCTCACATCGGCTCTCCAAGCCCGGCGGGCAGCCTCCCATCCTGTCGCAAACAGCTGGCCTTGACTGAGCAGAGCCAGGAGGGGAGGGGCCCTTCTGCCAAGATGCCAAAGCTGGCTTTCTTTTCAAAACCGTAGACCCCAGTGATTTCTGGAGAGAAACGCATTCAAATCCATTATCAAAACAACGACACCTGAATGTTGCCACCTGATCTGGCGCTTCAGCCTTCACGTCTTGGGACACAGTTTCCAACTGTGAACCCAGTTCCCAACTCAGTGCACCCGTGGCCAGATACTTCTGGACCAGATTTGTCCTCACCCACAGCCAGCCTGTCAGGAGCACAGCCACAGCAGGGCGTCCTGTGCCTCAGGGTGACAAGGAGGATCTTACTGCAAGGGGCCAAGGAATCTGCATCCCTCAGGCCACCTGCCACAGCTCTGTACTGTGGTAGGTTGCCTGGGAGGCTGAATCTAAATTGTGGGCTGTTGACTAGCAGAGCCCAAAGCTAGGTGCACAGGGGCCTCATCTACATACCTTAGATGGGCAAGAATTTTGCCTGTGGCCAGACACTCACTCACAGGCCAAGGCCAGGAGCTGAGGAAAGGGAGGTGGGGGTATGACAAGAGTCCAAGCCCAAGGAGGGCCTGCTGGAAGCCTCCCTGCCCGCCACCCTCGGGTTCAGTCTGGCATGGGGTATTCTTCACCCACCTCCTAAATAAGAAGCTACCCACTGGGCATCCAGAGGCACAACAGAGCCCTATCAGCGCTGGCTGGGATCTCCAGTCACCTCTTCACTGCCCCTCCCTGCCAGACACTGAAGCCTGCCAGGGCGTCCCCATGTCCCCTTCCTGCATCCTCCAGCCAGGTGGCTATGGGGTCCCTGCTTCAACCAGCCAAGAGCAGGCTCCTTGCAACAGGTGTTCCAAGTGATGCAAACCTCGCCCTCTGTCCTCCTTCAGCGGCAGGACAACATGCACCTTCTCCATCCCCTGCTTAGAGCAGCCTTCTCTGTGACTCTCCCTGGAGAGGGCAGGCTGAGAGGCTGCTTCTCGTCCAACCTCCCCTAATTCCCAGCACACACTCTAGTATGGCACATGGCATGTCTTACAGTGACTGCTGAGCAGGGAGGAAGGTAGGTGGATGGATGGACATACACACACATACAATACATATGCATGTATATACACATGTATGCACACATATACACACATACACAGAAACATATACCCATGCATGCATTTACACATATGGATGCATATAAATATATGCACATGCACACATACATACCTACACATACACGAACACATATACATGCATGTACACAAACACATACATACACAGACATGTATATATTCTCCCCTTTAGATATGCTGCTTATTTTTCTCCACCCCAGCTCATCACAGCACCGGAAACACAGCAGGTCCTAAGGAATTGTGAGATGCATGGCAAAGAGAAATAGTACGTATGATCATAAAAAGGAACTCACAGATCAGAGGTTATCTCTAGGATGACCTAATTAAAACATGCCATTGTACGGGTGGGGAAATGGAGGTTCACAAGAGAACATGACTCAGGAGGGAGCAGAAAACTTCCCATGGAGGGGACGCAGCAGACATGTCCCACAGGAGAAGCAGCCCCAGGGCTCGGCAGCCGGGGATCCTCAGGGCAAGCACCACAGCCCCTGCAGAGTGCTAGGGAAAGTCCCGCGTGGGTGAGCGTTAAGAAAAGGGAGGCAGGCCAGCCTACCAAGAAAAAATAAGACTGGTTCAGAGGAGCACGAGGAAGGAGGAGCAGGAGGGAGGAAGGGCAGGCCTGCCGGCACAGCTCAGGCGCAGGGGAACAGGCTGGGGCTGGTACTCCCGTTGGCCTTTGTCCTTCAGAGGAGAGTCAAAGGAGGGGACTGCCCAGCCCACTGCCCCTGGGACATTCCAAACTCAGGGGCCTGTGTGGTGCTGGGGGCATCTCCTCAGCTGCTACAGCTGACATGATCCTGCCAGGGAAATACCCCGGGCCACACCAGGAACATTCGGTGATGGAGTGTGACCATGCACCTCTGAGCAGTGTCAGCATGGAAGTGAGACAGGCAGGAACAGAAAAGTTTTCTGGGTGGAACAGAAAAGTCACCAGTGTCCAGAGTAAGGTGGCTGGCCCTTCCTCCAGCACCACTTGGTTTAACCTGCTGCTCTGGCCACCCAACGGTACCGGGCAAGACAGCAGACACATGCTTCTCCCACAGACATTTTGGGGTTCTGCATACCTTCACCAACCCCATCAGGCCAGGTCCTCACCAAGCGCCAGGGCTTCCAAGGAAGTGACAACACCATTTATGGGACCCTGCTACCTGGAGGACAGCTCAATCCTTTGCGTTCACCATGTTATGGCATCTGCCCAGCAGCTCTGGCACTACGACTATGCCCACTATGCAGGGGAGAAAAGGGCATAGAGAGGACAAGTGATTTGCCCAAGGCCACACAGCACAAGGGGAGAGGCAGGAACCAAACCTCCCTGTATGGACCAGCCCTGGGCCCTGCACCCAAAGGGCTGAGCCATGGAAGACACAAAAGAAAGGAGATGATTTTTAAAAAAACAGAAGCAGGAACTACACCGATTCCCACCATTCTAAATTCTACATCTGCAAATTCACCCACTTACTAAGATTTATTTATTTGTAACCCCCAAATCAGTACACCTGGCATTTCCATGGTCATTCGCTGACACAGGCAAGCAGCCAAAATTGGGAGCCGCCTGACATGCAAGGTTCAGGGTTTCTGAGGTTGCAGAGGCTTTCTGTTTCAGCTCTCACACTATAAACACGCATCCATCTCCAGACTGTTTTTTCCATCATATGCTTCCTGTTGGCATTTTAGCTGTTTCAAATCGCCCCGAATGCAGTCCAGTGTTTCTGCGTGCAAGAAGGCCATGACGTGCCTCCCAGAGAAAACGCGTCTTTGAGAAGCCTTACTCAGACATGAGTGCTAGTGCTGTTGGTATGAGTTCAATGAATCCCGAGAGCCAAGGTCAGCGTTCATTAACTCAGCATCACAGAGACTTTATGGGACATCGTAACCCACGAATGATGGGGATGCCTGTGCCACATCGGGCTGCACCCTCCAACTGCCCAGCCTGGCATCTTGCCAGGATGCCATAAGCTGCCCTCCCTCACTGGCTGCTTCCACAGAGAAGCCTGTCACCATGCTCTGGCCCTCACCCCCTTGAATGAGAGCACCTCAGGACTGGCTGCCTGCTCAAGGCATCCCCGTGTGCTCAGCCTGGCAGGGCACCAGACTGAGGGCTGACAGATGCTGGGCGGGCCCACATGGCCATCACAGACAGCTCTCCCTGCCTTGTCCCTGTCACTTGACACTGTGGGGCTGCCCCACCCAACCCAAGTCCAGTCCCTGGAGTCCGCGGTTTCAGGGAAAAGCAATGGTAACAATGGGGCTGCTGCTGCTGCGAGGCTTCTGTGGACCTTAGAGACGAGGCCAGAGCATACCAACACTAGCAATTCAGCTCGTTAGCAGGCATTCAGCATCCCCCAGAAATGACATGAGACCAGGAGAGCCTGATACCCAGACAACCCAGGCAGACAAGTGCGGGAGTAACGTGCCCCCTGGAACACAATAACAGTGACTCTGGTGCTAGCCACAGACGTCCCCTTCCGGGAGTCTGCAAATTCAGTGGCCCACAGACAGGCACTGTGGTTTTACTACTTTTAGTTATCTTACATCTGGGTGGTACTAATCTGACCAAGAGTATATTGATCTTCTCTCCCAAATCGGGTCTGATTCTCCATGGATGGCTGAAAATGACTGAAGATCAGCATCTTGGAAGCCTGGGGGAAGCCAAGCCCCTCTTTGAAATCAGCCTCCACCAGCTTCTTTCAGCAAACACCCCCACCCCCACCCTTTACTCCTTCACAACATGGCTGTGACCCAAATGACCTATTCCGTGGGTGAACAGAGAATAGGTCTGGGTGATATGGACTCACAAAAGCAGAGATCAAAATGAGGCAGCCACAGAATCAGTACACTGGAGCCACAAGCCAACAGAAACAAAGACAGAATATCTACTGCCCAGGGGCTGGGGGCTGCAGAATAGCAGGAAGGTCACCCATGATCACATGCTTGGCCTTCCCTGTAAACAATCAGTAAGGGAGGGAGGGAAGGAGGTGGAAAACGGTCCCTGACAAGGAGCAGACATGACTCCCATTAAGGAAGCCCTGAAAGTCCGATGCACTGGCCACCCACCACCTGTCTGAGCTTTGTCCAAAGCTGGATCCCAAGTCACTGCATCTGGTTCTCATCAAGGCCCTCACACCCACAAAGGTATGAGCTCCGGATCTCAGAAACCCCAGTATCCCCAGCCTCTGAGCAGACTCTAACAACATTTCCAATCTAAAACGTGAGCAGCCACCCCCTCCAGGCCCTTCTCTCCAGTAACTGATAAAGTCATGAGACACACCTTCCCCATCGGCACTCAGGTTCTCATACGAGTCCCAGCGGATCAGCGGGTCAGCCGTATTGAAGTCTACGATCACCCCATGGTTGTTGCACAAATGTTCACAACCTGTGTGGGTGGGTGGGGGTGCACAGGCATTAGTCCTGGCCGAGCCAGCAGCTCCAGTGTCCCCCCGTGATGAGGCAAGGGGCAGCTGTTAGTGCCCCGGAAGCCATGCCCATGGAGCAGCTCTGCCCCAAGTCTGGCACTGACAGCAGCCAGTGTGCCCTCTTCTGAACGAAGCAAACAGCAGTGAGATAGCTGGGTGGCAAGGCAAGGCAGACATGGGTCCTCCAAGCCCAGTGTGCTTGCACAGGTGGACCTGAGGGAAGATGGACGCACAGGCCAGTTTGGGCCAGGCTCTGGGCTCCAGACCCACACTCCCTCTTCCAGTGGTCCTGAGAGGCCAAGGGGTTCCTGGCCCACCAGCCTTGCATTAACCTCTCCAGGCCTAAATGGTGGCACCCAGCTCAGAAGTATCATGATTAAAACATAAATTGAAATGTCAAGTGCATGGCTCTCAGTGATGGAATGAACCATTTGCCTTGATGATAAGGGGTGATTTCTCTATCAAGGCATTTTTAGAAAGAGAATCAAAGTATTTGCAGGCTACTGTACCTCTCATCTTGTAAAACATTTGGTTGTTTGTTGAAGGGTGAGGTAATCAACCAGCCAAATCTTCCCAGGGCAGGAGAAACAAGGCTTCAGGGACTCAGCCATGGCCCCAGTGGTTCTGGGCCCTTCCATGGGGTCTTCTCTGTGGTCTCACTGACCTATCTGGGCCCCTTTGTCTCCAACCCCCCAACATACACACTGTCTGGTATCTGACTACTTAAATAAATGTTTTATTGTGAAGATTTCCTAATGTTCTCAAAGGTGGGAGTTGGTACAGTGACCCCAATGTGCCATCGCTGAACATGGAACACATTCTGCTCCCTATTTTGCACTTTACCCACCTTGAATCTTCTCGGGGGTGGCTGAGAACACTAACTCAATCTTCCCATTATCAGGGAAACGGTCATCTGCAAAAGAAATTGTATTTCAACAAATCTGGAAAGCTGAGCTAAAAAATCAGGATGACTTTTGTCCTATTCCCGCAGCCCCCATGGCAGAAAGTCACAGCCCCCCCACCCCCTGGCATCCCCAGAAGTTTCCTTTGCCAGGTAAGCTGTCCATCTCCCCTGAGACTGGTAAGAACTTTGTCAGGAGATCAATTTATGGGAGGGTTCAGGAGGAGAGTGAAGAAAACAAACAGCAAGTTCCACTGTGCCCCCCTCTCCCCCATCCCTGCAGGCGGCACCTCACCTTTGCTGGCGTTGTCCAAATCCTCCTTCCCAAACACGAGCCCATAGCCCTGAACAGCGCCTGTGTGAAACTGCAGGCGAAAAATGACATCGCGGGTGGCCGACCGGTACTTCTTGTGGTAGCACTTCACCTGGATGGGGGGGAAAACCGCCGGCTGCAGGGGTCACTCTGTAGGACACTGGACCCCAACACCCAGGGGACCTCAACAGCAGTGGCAGGCTGCACACAGGCCACGTACTGTTCCTGCTGGCCCCTTGGAGTCCAGACACACAGTCCTGGCCCTTCAGATGGGCAATGACGTGTTCTGCTTTGGAGGACATCTGCAGAATGGCATCCCATGGCCCTTTCCCCCCGAACCTTAACAACCAATCGTGAGGAAGTTTTTCTTTCACCTGAACTCTGTGTTTCACCTGAACGCCCTCTGTGCTCACAGCAACAGCAGCTGGCTGTCACTGCTTGTGATACACTAAATGGTTATTACAGGCTGTGATTGAGAGAGACAAAGGGGAAGACAGGAGAGAAGGAGAGGGAGAGGGAGAGACACAGGGGGGAGACAGAGACAGAGTCAGAGAGATAGGGGAAGGGAGACAGAGAGATGGGAGAGACAGAGGAAAGGAGAGGCAGAGAGACAAAGAAAGGGGGTAGAGGAAGCAGAGACCAGAGTTTGGGGTAGCATAAGATTTAAATTCCTGTGCTGGGTCGTCCAGGTGTCCGGGTGGTCAGCTAAGACCAGAATCACCTGAAGTGGCCTGAACCCAGGCGACACTGCAGCCCCAGAGCTAGGGTGCACTGGGCCCTGGGGTGCAGCTCCAGCCTCAGGGGACATGCGAATATGCAGGGTGGAAGCCCCCTCAGCCCTCAGGGCAGGGGGCATGGGGTGAGCACACAGGGGCCCAGCCTCAGGGGCCTGTGGATGATGGAGCCCAGGGATGACCCATAGGCCTGCAGGAGTGGAACCCCCTCACCCCTATTCCCACTGCAGCAGGCAGGGGCTCCCTTCCAGGGCCCTGGGGCTGGGGCCAGAAGCAGGCTGGGTTCTGCCCTCAACAGACAGAGCCAGGCAGACCAAGCAGGCCCAGTGGGGAGGGGCAGGGGATTTGGGGGTTTTCTGATGTAGCCATGCTCACAAAAGAGACGTTTCTTGCAGAAAGGTGCGTTTAAAATACCGGAGCATCACCAAGGTCAACGAGAGTGCAGGTGGACGCTCTGTACCTAACCAGAGACACGATCATGTAAGGAACAGCACAAATCCTGGGCCACAGCCAGCAGGAGGGCTCTGTGGCCCTTTGGGCAGGGCCTGTGGTTTACCTCCCCCTGTCTGCCAGGCAGCAGTCTGACAAACACAGGGGTGAGGGAAGTGTAAACAGGCCATCAGGGGAGGGTTTGGGATCGACAAGCACAGGCAGGGGACACTGGGCAGCTGCGGCAAATGCAGAGTCTAGACTCAGGCCCATAGTTGGGACATATGGACGCAGCCAGCAAGAGTCCAGCAGCAAATGCGTCTCAGCCACAGTGCCCTCCACCTCCACCTGGGGTCTCTGCCTCCTGCCCTTTACGGGCCACCATCCTCCCTGCTCCAGGGGACCCTTGTGCACTAACCATCCCAATGCCAGCAGAGGCTCTGGCACAGACTGCAAGGCTGACCACACACAGGCCCCCATGTTGCCCTGGGCAGGAGGATGGACCCACCGCGCTATCTGCCTTCTTCCTGCTGGGGCCCTGGAGGCTCCGTCAAAGGGGGATGAGGGTGGAGAAAGGAAAAGAAGCCCAGGTTCCTGCCAGCCTGGCTCTCAGAACTGTAAATATCAAGGACCTGGCTGGGGAAGCTGACACCGGATCACAGCCTGGAGGCCACAGGCAGCCAGGAGGGCTGGGCACAGCAGTTGCTGGACAGACAAGCAGCCTCGGACAGCACCAAGCCCTCGGCCACAGCCTCCTCTCCCACCCTCAGTGCCTGTGGCTGGCTCCCACCCACTGGAGCCCCCAGCCCCACCCACCACCCCCAGGTGCTCCTTAGCTCCCTCCCTGGACCCAGGACACGATCCCAGCCCTCCATATAATGGCAGGGCAGGCAGAGGTGGCCACACCCCAGGCCCAGGGAAGGACAAAACATGAGGATCGTTGTCCCACATCTGCCAGCTCCCTGGCGCCCCAAGGTGTGGGCACCTCCCCAGGCCAAGGGACCAAGTGCTAGATGACTCCCTGAGAAGGATTAAGACTGTCCCAGGCTTAGGATAGAAAGAAACCAACCTGATGCGAACACCCCCACTCCCGGAGGTCTTCCTGGAACTCAGCTGAGACCTGAAGCCTCCCCACACACCTCCCGTTTCACGCGGAACTTCTCTTCCCACTGATGGATTTGGCGGCACCACCTCCCGGTCCAGCCCACCTGACCTCAAGAACAGAGACAGGCAGTCTCCTGAACAGATAGCCTCAGGTGTCTGCTTGCATGGGGTCCTGGCAGCCACCAGCTGCCCACGCTCAGAGCTCCGCCTTGGGGAACTCTGGTAAAGTGCACAGCTGGGGATTATTTGTTATCCACATCAACGGACCTCGTTAGCACATCAACAGACCTTGTTAGCATCGGTGACCAGATAGCAGAATCTTGCTCTTTACACTTAAAGGAGAGAACCATCAGTATTCTGCTTGATGGGAGCACCCCAAATGTCCCCTTTTAAGATACAAAATAATGAACACATTTCTTCAAGATTAGAGTGACTGAGGGCTGTCCTCAGTGCCTTTGGTGTTAGTGAGTTTCTGCAAAACACCAATCCTTTGCCTGCAGAGTTTAGAGTATCTGTATCTGAAACAAGTCAGAGTTGCAGCCTCTCGTTTGAGCTATGGGAGAATAAGAAACAGTAAGGCTGGATCAGATGACATCCATGCATCACGGGCTGTCACCAGGCTCAAGGTGAGGCACATGCGTGTGCAGGCTTACTCACAACTCACCAGGAACTTACAGTCCCACCAGAGACGCTGAGCAGAATGCAGCTTTCTCTGACTGCCCAGTGGATGTTACAATGTCAATCTCATGATCATCTCACAAAGACTAATTCAACACTACATGCTAATACAAGTGTGCATGTGCTCTATTTACACATATGTTACTTAGGCTGTAGCCTCCAGAGAGAGGGTCCTTGCATGTATTGATGAGGAAATATTCAGAACGTTCTCAAATCCCTCCTCCTCTCTGGGTTTATTAGTAGGAATCAAAGGAAGCCAAGGAGACAAAGTTTCTGTTAAGGCTTCAAGAATATAAAGGAATCACAAGGTGCTTGGGTGCTTGAGATTAAAACAATGTAACCATATATTCCCCCTCCCCACCAGAGCTCAATGGTATGGAACAGCTTGTTAATCATAGTCATGGAAGCCCATTAGTTTATAATAGGGTATCCAGGTAACCTTTACGGAAATGGATTAAAATCTAACTAGTGTCCTGAACACACCTATAGTGACCTAATAGCTCCTAGTACAACAGTTTCTGGATGGTGACTCCCCCCTTAGCTTTGTAGTAAATGTATAAAAGGCATGACCCTCCTGTACTCGGGGCTCAGACCTTTGGAGATCACTCTCCTCTGAGCCTGTGGACATAAAATAAACCTTCACCCTCCAAGATCTCTGAGGGCTACTTGGTTCTTCTGTCAGTGATCCAGTCCAGGTTTTCCGGTTTTCTATAACAATATAACGGTCTCAGAGGAAGGTCTGTGTGCCCTCCTATCCTGGGTCTGATGAAACAACTCAGAAACCTTCGCCCAAACTGTTCTCTCACAGTTGCTTAAAAGCCTGCCTTTGCCCCAGTCTTCCCCAAGGGGACACAATGCACATGGCTGGGGCCTTCATACATAACAGAATTCCGAGTCAAAGTAGTTACTGATCAATCTGGTGTGTAAGGATGGCTGATAGGCTAAGAGGACTGCTTAATCCTTAGGTCTTGTGGCTGTATATTTACTTTAAACTCTCCATCAACAAGACAAAGAGCACCTTGGATCAAGGGGTCAAGGCTTGAGGACACAAGGCCCCAAGGGTCAGAGGTCAGGCACAGATGTCTTCAATTCCTGCTCCCCCAACCATGCCAACCTCTGTCAGCAGCAGCTCCTGCCAGATCCAGCTTCCCCTGAATCATCTGAACTCCCATGTGGCTAACAGAAATAGTAAAAGAAGCAAGACCCTCAACACACCCCCTATAGGAAAAGAGTGTCACCACTTCAACCCACTTTGCTGGTGGCCCTGGTGGCCATCAGATGGCCTCAGAATATGTGTCCTCAGAGAATGAGCTACAGCCACACATGAAAAGGATTAAAAACTTTGACCATTAGCCCCTGTTAGTCAAAGTGCCCACACCATGTAGGGCCACGATTTCACTGGGACTGGAGGTGATTTTAGAAGGTCTCAACTGGAATCCATTTCACTTCTCAATCAGCAGTATTGGCTGTGAATGCAAATGACCAGCCTGATGTGCTAAGACCATGGGATTGGGAAAAACTGTTGGTGCAGTGAGAGAAGAAGACACACACACACAGAGGCACAGAACAGTTCAGTGGTGGGCAGGTAATTGGCATAAAGCCCCTGTCCAGGGAGGGAGCCAAGGACGTTCTCATTTCCCTGAATCTGCATGTCCTCTGCAAGAAACAGTAAATGACGTGCTTTTTGTTATGGCTCCTTGTTGAGAAGTTGGGTCACCAGAGCAAGGTCACAAGCTCCATAACCAGGAAGACAAAAAGTAAATGGCCACAGGGTTTGACAAGCTGAGGCAGCAAGATGGGGCGGGCCGGCCAGCCGACAAAGTGTTTACAAGCCTCATGGGGCCCTGGACCCTGGCCAGGCACCCGGAGGCCTGTGCCCACGTGCATTCCTCAGCAGGTTACATAACAACTTGGCTGAGCTCACGAAAGCTCTGCCCTCTGCCCTGACGACAGTGTTTGCGGAACACCCAGGCCCTACCCTTCTGAACGAATGGGTGGGCTGCAGAATCTGACCTTCAGTGAAAGCACGTGGCAAGAATGGGTGGGTCAGTGTGCAGAGGGAAGGCCAGCAAGGCTGGGCGGGCCACATTCAGAAGTCAGGGGGTGGGGGGTCACCTCACCAGGAACAGTGTCACCCACTAGCCCCCAAAGCCAAGGAATGACAACG